GTATATATCACATCCTGCCGCTCCCAGGAAGAAAAAACTGTGATTCAGCTATTTTAAGACCCAGATTTAGCAAATGACCTGACCATTTTTTTTTATATAAAAATATTAAAAAGCCTGGGCTTAAATGTCTTTGCTGACCATAAATACATTTATAGATATGCTTATAACTAAACGTAAGCTTAAATACTCTGTTGAGCGGGGCTAGATTTCACAGCCATGCTGGTACAGTCAGTAGGAAACTGACAATCTGCTCTTCTGATGACCTGCAACATGTTCTGTCAGAAATGTCACTACCAATTTTCCTTGGACAGCCTTTGTGGGTTTCTCTGTGTATGTGTATGTGTGTGTATACATGTATTCATCATCTAAGAGGAAAAAAGGGTTCAATAATGCTGTCTCTGCTTATGCTTTCTGACACATTTTGTAATAAGCTTCTGTTTAGTCTCATCTGTCTCAGCCGCATTTTAATGGGACAGGCTGAAACTCTCCCCACTGGATGAGTTTTTTTTCAGTTTTGGAGTTTTAGTTTAATGTCACAATACTGTGGTCTGGGGCCCTAGGAAAAAATCTAATGATAGAATCGTAGAATGGTTTGAGTTGGAAGGGACCTGGTCTCCACTTGGACATCAGCCTGATGACCACAACTCTTTGAATGTGACCATCCAGTCAATTCCTTATCCACCAAGTGGCCCTTCCATCAAATCCATGCCTCTCTAGTTTAGGGACAAGAATGTTGTGCAGGGCAGTGTCAAAAGCCTTGCACAGGTCCAGGCAGGTGATGTCAGGCACTCTTCCCTTATCCACCAATGCTGTAACCCCACTGTAGAAGGCCACCAAATTTGTCAGACATGATTTTCCCTTAATGAAGCCATTTGGCTGTCACCAATCACCCCCTTATTGTCCATGTGCTTTAACATGGTTTCAATCTGCTCCATGATCTTGTCAAGCACCGAGGTGAGACTGACTGGCCTGTAGTTCCTTTTCCCCCTTTTTAAAAATGGGGTTATGTTTCCCCCTTTCCAGTCAATGGGAACTTCACCAGACTGCTATGACTTCTCTGGTACAATGGACAGTGGCTTAGCCTTTCATCTGCCACTTCTGTCAGATCTCCCTGCTTTCTGCTCTTACAGCAGCAATCTTGCAGTGATATTTTCATTTACATTTGCAAAGGCATTTTGCATATACCAGTAGAGAACAGAGGTTCAAAGCAATGCGCCATTCTCAGGTGTTGTCTTTTGTGCTGGGTTCCTTACCTGTGCAGAATGAGTAACCAGTGGCCATCTCGTTTCATAGGATGCACTGGTTTCTAGGCTGGATTAGGTCCAGATTTCTGATTTTAATAGAAAGTTTTTATAAATATTAGATTCTACTTTTGATACAAATTTTATTAAAGTCACTCCAGGCTGTTTGGCACGTAACTTTATCAGCTAACCAGCAACACAGCTACTGCTTATGTTCTTTTTTTTCTATCTTTAACATTGTTTGTTTTTTTTTCTTTCAGTTGAGTAGATTTTTACAGGAATTGCTGCAGAACAACTGCTATAGAAATCAAATTAGCTGCTCAGAATTCCATGTATTTAACCCTCATTTGCATTTTCTGTTTTAGAAGAGATGAGGTTGGGGACCCACTGCTGCAAAACACAGCTGCTGCTTCCACTCTTGTTGGTGGCTTTGCACAACGGAATAGTTCTGGCTCTCTAAGCACCTGGCAAAAGACCACAAATTGCTTGATGGCACTGCATTTTTCAAGGAGGGGAGACTCATTGCTGTTTCTGTCTGTGCCCACTTGGCAGATTGCAGAATAGGAGGGAACTTTGCTGTTGGCATTGGAGCGCTTACAGCTTGTGTGACTGTTATCCTGGGTTTTTCTCACAGTGAAATAGTCCTCTTGTAATCGTGAAGGGCATGTTCTTGAAAACAACACTGCTTTTTAACAGTTGCAGTAAGAAATAGTGGTTGGGTTTGTAACTGTTTTAACAAAAAAAAAAAAAAAGAGCAAAGTAACCCACCCCTCTCTCCCCCCTCAAAAAAAAAAAGCCCTCAACCAAACAACCAAAAAAACAAACTCCAAGGAACAAAACCCAGCTCTATGAAGAAATTCTAGTACTGGACAAGTACATTTGCACTAGTTGTTGCAAATTTGGATAAGGTTCCATGTTTTCTTTTTAGAATGCATACATACTAGTGTTAATGTAGCTTTATGAAAGAGAATTTTGCTGTCTCTTCTGGTGATTTATACTGTACTCTTAGGACATTTCTACTTTTGAAAGCAGATGTCTCCTTTTTGCGGATGACAGGAATTATACTAAAGCAAATCAGTGTGGAATATAGATGTTTTAATGAATACAACTACTTATCTCCCAACTTTTTCCTTCAGATTCTCTTGAATAACTACTTATATTTCCTTAGTCAAATGGCAATTCCAAAACGCGGTGTGAACTGTTAACAAAATTAGGTAGATTTTCTTTTTAAGAGGCTTTGTGAACCATATAACCCACATTCATCACTTCTGCCAGCTACCTTCCCAATTTCATTAATATTACTCCTAATTTGCAAATAGAAACAGCTGGAGAAGTTGTCCAAGGAAGGCTGTTGCTCTTACGTCTTTTTTTTTTTTTTTTTAGGTTCACTGTTAAAGGTAGAATTGAACTGAATTTGCAATCTGTCAAGTTCAGTGTGTTTTCAGGTCACAGTGTGTACAGTGACATCCCATACAGTTCTGAGCACTTTATGACTGATAAAGCTGTTTTCTGATGAGATGGAAAAGAACATTAAAAGTCATGAGATAAACCCAAGGTGTAACTAACCCAGTCATTTATTTTTACTGCTCCATAGTGGGTACCGGTGTAAGAGGATAACAGTAGGGCAAGCAAAGGCAGTGACTTTCCTCATCTGTACTCTGAACTTTCAAATCCTGTCTGGCTTGAAAGCTTTTTGAACTGGAGGTTCTGCCTTTGTGTTTAAGGCTGTATCTTTGTGTTTACAGGCTATGTGTGGTGTTAGCATGAAAACTGCCCTTCTAAATCTATTTTAGAAAACCAGTGTTTCCTAGGATTAACTGCACATTTTTGTTGGGTTTATTTCTGGCTGCCCTAGATGTCTCTTCTATTCCTTTCTCACCCCTATAAAAAATGAGAAAAACCTAGTCAGTCTCTGTTCTCCATAATATTATTTATGCTTCCCTTAAATGATTTTACTTTATTTTCTTAGAAATTATTTGGATTTGGAGCTACTTTAAAGTCTTTTTGGGAAGTTAATAACTCAGCTGGTGTTTTTTACCTATTTCTAGCATAAACCAACATTTTTTGCTATAATTTTTTTTTTCAAGAAAAGTTCCTTAGTAGCAGAAACTTGAGTGGGGAAAAAATATTTGTGTAAGTGGGGGAATGTTCTACTGTTGAAATAATTTTTAGTGATGTCATATGACCCATATGCTATTTGTATCATAAACCTCTTAATCTGTGTTCAGGTTTTCATTGACGATGTATTAGCGTTGCATTAACTTTCAGCCTTTCTTTGACCTCTTCAAACAAAGTGTTATTCATTGCACTAATGGTTTGTTTCCTAGACCTACTAACCATTTTTCTGTAATACATGTTTAGAAATAGTTACCTGTATGGTTCTTTTTTGTTGTTCTCTTATTTATTACTATTATCTGATTTCTTACTGTAACTTTTATGTATTGAAATGGGTTTATTTAGAGTTTCATTAGCACTCATGTGAAGTCTGTAGTTTTTTTGCTACCTGCTTGCTCACATAATTCCCGAAGCTCAGGGATTTTGGTCTTTTTATGTTGTTACTCATGTGCCCAAGCGCATCTAGATCATTTAGTCCAGCAAAATATATTTCAGAAAGGAGCACTGATCCTTTTCATTTTATTAAAAAATCAGTAAAATTTGGATTAGCTTGGACATGCAATCTAAATTGAAGCATGTCTATGAGTATTGTTGTGTCAGTAGAATTTAAGCACGTGCTTGAAGTTAGTCACATATATTTAAATGTTGCCTTGTATTGATCAGGGTTTTCTCAGCTAGGAGCAAGTTCTTCCTGCAAACATGCAGCATACTGATCGCTTAGACCTTGATAGAATAACGTTTAATGACTCTTGTTTAGATGATGCTTATAGTTGACATAAATGAAGAAATAAAACCAGTGACTTGTCAGTTTGGCACTTAGTTTTGGTGAGATGAGGGGAATGGTGCATGTTTAAGTGAAATTTAAAGACTGGTCAGTGACTAGGCTCAACAGAACTTCATGTTTGTTTTCTCCTAAATAAGATTTTAATCTTTTGTGATAAATTATGACTAATTTCGCATCTTACACATGCACTGTTTCTCTGTTTCCTGGAAGGTTTCTGTTCATGAGTGTGCCACTTCTTTAAAGGTCAGATTTTATTTTGTCCTCTTCTGAGGCTTTCTTAGGAGAGCTTTTAGGTTTCAGTAACTTCTCTAATGCAAAAATTCTGTGTTTGTTCATATTTTTTACAATATGCTTATTTCATTTGTATCATGCCAAATGTATATGTGTGTATGCATGTATATGTGTATGCATGTCTATGTTGTTATAATTGCATCTGATTACATGCATGTAATTACATACGTGGATATATATACACATACATATTTCTACTGTGAAACTATTTTACTATGAAACTATATGTGCTTGGTGCCATAATTCCACTTCTGTACACAAGTAGAATGTTCTAAAAGCTATTATTTTATCTAGAATCACAAATAAAATTAGAAATGTATATATTAAGTGAAAATAGAATCATTATGAAAATAAGCCAAACCATGTGTTTAAATTCAAATTATGAGTGACTGTAATAGAAAAAACATGGAGTAGCTGAGGTTTCATGTGATTATAGTATGCTGTGTTGTACATGCCATAAGAAGTAATTGTTTATACCTCTACTACTAAAATTTGGAAAGAGTATTATGCTGTTCTCTCTATGCTTCAAACTCTACAGAACAATATTTTTCTTTTTACTTTTTTTCCAGCACGTGCTATTGGCAATAAAGTTTACCATCACATTTGTAATTCCGGATAAACCAAGAGATATCCAGACAAAACTAGCCAAATTGGAATTTGAATCTCTAGAGGCTCTCAAACGACAGGTAAGAGCAACTGACGTATAGAACTGTGGAAAGCATTGGTGGCCTGAAAGAAAGATAACCTAGGGAGATTCTGTGTTGGGTTTAGGTGGATAAATATGTAAATCCCAGGGTTTTGAAATTCCTGTTACACTGAATTAAGATTAGCTAGCTAAAGCTGTTCCACCTCTGCCCCACAGTTTCCGGTATCAGAACTGGGGTGGTGAGTCACTGGGAGCAGCGTACAGCACAGGATATTAAATAAATAGAAAACAGTGCTGGTTTGCTTCTACACATTGGGTTGTAAACTGTAGCATTTCAGGTAACTGCTTCATTTTCTGTTAACCCATCACTGCCTAAGAAGTGGAGCGGAGAGCTGGAAGTTTTAATAGATTCACCTGTCCTTTCAACCCACCAGTTTATGTGAGCCAACGCCAGAAAAATGGTCTTCCTTTTCAGACAGCATGAAATTCCTGGTATGGCTAGTAATGTAGCAACTTGTAATGTCTTTTGTCCCTGTGTGTGCAAACATACTTTGTTTATATTGTCACTTCTAAAGGACATTGGTCTCTATGAAACCTCCTTTCATCCCCTGGAGGTGTTTGTTGGATTTCCTTCATTGCTGAGATATCATCACAAAAAAACAGTTAACTTGGCTCTAATATAGGCAGAAACTGTAAACAGGCTGAACATGTTTGAAATAATTGTGTTGAGAACAAAATGTGTATGAGGGCATAGTAATGTTGCTTTATTTTCCTTTCCATATACTATTGTCTCATTTTATTGCATAAGTATATTTTATTGCATAAGTAAGGTATATTTTACATAAAATATTTTTTATTTAATAAGCATTCCAGAGCTATGTAGTAAAATAAGGAGCTAGATTTTTCTACTGAAAATTTCTGTTTTGACAAATGATTCCATAGAAATTGGTAGAGATCAGAAGAAATGAAGAATCATATGGAATTAGCTTCAGTAGGAGACAGATTCTACGGAGCGGGTTTTGCTATGGCAGCGTTCTTTAGGAGTTTCTGACTGTACCATGCTAGATAGGATTTCTAAGATAGCTTAGATATCAGAAAAAAAAACACCCAAAACCAGCATTGACTGGTGCACCTATTTATTGTTAGCTCAGATATTTTTACACTGTAATGCATGGTTTTACGTGAACATACTCTTTGTGTGCTCCACATGCAGATGTGTAAGCTCCTCTGTACCAGTTTTTATGTAGGCTGGGAGGTTACTTTATAAAACATCTACCATAGCTACATGTGACAAAATGAGCTCTTCATTTTGGACAAACTGAGCCTGTAAATAATACACTGCTTTTTATAGTTAAAAACCCCCAGTTCTTTGTGACACTAGGACATCGCTAGTGAAGTCAGTACTCTCTGTCGTAATCAGCCGTAACAAAACCCAAATTACAATTGAATCTAATGCCTCATAGTTCTGTTTTGCCTTTCTCTAGATGTTGATTTGGAGTTACCAGGAGCTGGTTGTGGATCTCATTTATTTTTTAGATAAAAGGAGCAGGATTACATTTCTGTTTCAGTTGTTCATTCTGTGTTTTCAGTTTGTAGACAGGCAGAACTAGGTCATCCACTGGAACCTTAAGCTCAAGTGAATATAGTCACCTTTGGTTATAATGTACCAACTGGAATATATATGGAGTCTCTTTCAATACGAGTGTGCATGTCAGCAGTTAGCACTTCATCTCCTATTCTTGCATCTGTGTATCCCCTACAGTAATATGTGCCTGATACCCAGTTTTCAGGGTTGTTTCATTAATTCAGTGGTGAAAAGTTAGTCTGAATTTTTGGAAGAACCAGGAGTCTAGCAGTTCTCCCCTAATTCCTACACGATCCAGGAAGAACATGGCTGTTTTTCAGGTGTCTTGTTAGGTACTTTATACACAAGTGTCTGCCATCATCTTTTTAGATTTCCTCTGGTTGATATGGTGCTATGTATCCCACAGATGTGTAGAGAATTGGGCTTTTTTTTTCTGGTGCCTTAGTTTTTTTGAGTGAAAAAGATCAGCATTTAAAATTAATACATTGACTGTAAAAAGATACTGAAGCGTTTGTTTTAGAAGCACATTTTCTAGTTCTTGTTACTGAGAGTCATGGTAATTTATGCTGTATATCTTGCTTTCAAGCAGAAAACAGCAACAAAATCCCCCAAAACCACTGATTTAAAAAAAAAAAAACAGTCATAAAAGTCTGGGGCAAATGTGTTGCGAGATCACATTATGGAGAAACTGATTTATATACCTTAATGCAAGTATGCACTGTATTTCTCTCTTGGTGCTATCCAGACATGTATGCCGTTGTATTTACCGTATGAGCTTTTAGAGTATTGTTGTCTTGGGATGTGTCAACCTCCAAGATGCCAAAATAGATTATTAGGCTCCTTATATAGTGCAGGGGCAGAAAATCTCCTAATACACAGATGTATTGATTATGCTTGACTTTAGACAGTGTGAACACCTTTACATTTTTATTAATTTTAGGGTTTTGTTGTGGTTTAAAACCAGTCAGGCAGCTCGTTCACTCACTCCCCCCCTTCTTTCCCTCCCCCTACTCCCGGAGGGACAGAGAGAAGAATCGAAAATAATGCAACTCCCACGGGTTGAGATAAGAACAGTTTAGTAACTAAGGTATAACACAGATCACTACTGCTACCACCAATAATAATAATGATAAAGGAAATAACAAGGGAAGAGAATACAACACCTCACCACCCGCCGACCAATAACTAACCCCACCCCAGCCCAACCAAGCACCGACCGATACCTCATCCAACACCCCAGTCCTAGCCCTTCCAGGTAACTCTCAGTTACATCCTGGGCATAACGTGGTATGGAATATTTCTTTGGTCAGTTTGGGTCAGGTGTCCTGTCTCTGCTTCCTCCTGGCTTCCCCTCCTCCCTGGTAGAGCATGAGGCTCAGAAAGTCCTTGGTCAGGGTAAACATTTGAGCAGTAACTAAAAACATCGGTGTTATCTGCTCTTGTTCCCAGGCTGAAAGTCAAAACACAGCACTGCACCAGCTACTAAGAAGGAGAAAAATGACTGCTACTGCTGAACCCAGGACAGTATCCACCCGTTATTGCATAACATTCACGTGATGCTTAGTCTTAGTGCATGGAGCAGTCCCTGTAAAGCTGCTGAGTCCATTTGGTCCATGATGTCAGTCTCCATCTCTTGTAAGAGTCTTTCAGAGCAGGAGAGGCTGTGTGCAGGGTTCACACTCGTGAATCACCTGGGCCATAGTGTCCATTGCTAAGTCCACCCCTCGATCTTGAGTCCATCTCTATGTTGCATCTCTGCCCTCATGGCCTGAAGTTTCATGGGCCCACCAGTCTCAAAATAATTCACTGTCCCCTTCAGCAGTTACTGCAGCTTGTCACTGGGGACTCCATACAGCTGCCTTCCATCTCTGGCACTTCCAGAGCACTGGAGAGGCCCAGTGGACTAGATACTTGCCCATACTGTCCCACACACCCTGCAGCTCGTGACTATCCAGCCTTGGGGGAAATCTCCTGGTCCTCCTATATCGTCGTCTAACCCCAGAGAAGGCCCAAACCCAACTCTGCTTAACTTTTGAGATCAGACAAAATAGTGGTGGGTAAAACACAGTCTGTATGTGTGCCAACATGCTGATCCCCATCACAATCAGTAGGCAGGTCCCAAGGATACCCAAAAAATGACTGCTACTGCTAAACCAGGGACAGGAATGCAATGTCTCAGCCCCCTAATAGAGATGAACAGTCACCATTAGAGCTTGTTAAAACTTTCAATATAGTGAATAATGCCGTAATAATAATAAATAATTTTATATTGGCATGACAGTCTTGTTTTGAAGTTCTCAAACTTCAGGAAAAGTTGTTAGGAAGTTCTGAAATGTTTCTTTGTATAATGTCTTTACATAGTTTGTTGAAAGGGAGTGGACTGTTGAATGAGCTGTAATAATTCAATCTGTTTTGCAAACACTTTGTTACAATACACTTGAAGTATCATAATAAATGTTTGTTGACATAACTCCAGACAAAATGCTTTAATATTTCTGAATCCAAATTGGGGAATGTGCTACATCTATAGACTTTCGTTCACGTTTCCCCTGATGTCTTTCAGGGGTAGAGGAGGCTGGGTAGACTCTTATCTGGGAGGAAGGGGAGCAGGGGGTAAATTAATATGAACTCTGTAAGAGAGGGCTAAAGAGAATATGGATCAGGATTTTTGAAAAAGGAGCAGGAGTGATTTCATTCACACTCCTGAAAGTGTTGTCAGTTCTTGGCCACCTGGATGCTGGGCAACTAGAAATTGGTACTGTCTGCTACTAGGGTGATGGACCCTTTTCTGGTGAACATCATGATTCTTCTGGGGAAGTAGCTAGCTATAAAGTGGGGTGAGGTGCCCAAGACTCCCCTTGCTTCTTTGCAGTACTCTGCCGTGTGGCATCTGTTTCTTGTAAGTGCAGAAGCATGCCTTGCCCTTTGGTCCAGTTCTTATTTTAAGGAAGAGAGGCCAAGTAGAAATGTGCCTGAAAGCAGCAAGGAAACAGTTAATTTTTCAGTGGTTCAGGAATTACCATAGGCATGGGCAAGGACTAATGCTGTAAAGCTATCTAGCATTTTTGTGGCAGTGACAATGAAAGCTACACTGATAAACATTTTAGCTTCTGGACAGATCAAAGCTTAATGAATAGACAAAAGGCCCTTGTGGTTGGAGATGGGTCAGCAGTCTATGCTTGTAAAAGGTCTAAGTTCTAGAAACACAAGGCAACCACAGATTAAGTAGCACAACTTGCATTTTGTGGACTAAATTGCAGTCATGTTTTCAGGTATTAAGAGATCTTCCCAGTATTACCTTCAACAAACATCAAATTCATGCCTTTTTTTTTTTTTTTTTGTCTCTGAAACTAGACCCAGGCAAAGCAAATGAGAGACAAATAGGGAGAAAATAATTCTTCATGCAGTTATTTTCTGTGCGTGAAATACAGAGAATAGCAACTCCAGCGTGATGC